CAACTCTTTTCTTTACAGGAAGATTGGATAATGGCACTTGGAGGGAGACAAAACTCAGAGGTGGAAGAAATGATAATGAAGTGTAAGTAATTTACACAAAGGTGTTGGAGATCTTTCACAACCAGCCTGCAATATCAAATCAAGAGGATGTTGACAGCTATACTCCGGAGAAGCCAGGAGGTGGTTAACTTTAACAGAAGGTGACATGAAAACAAATGAAGGAGTCATTTCCCACAGAGGAATATTTAAGTTGGAAGTGTTGTGTAACCCAAACTGGTAAAGATGGAAATAGAAAATGTAGAATCCCAAGAAAAAAAAAATGTGTGGAATATTTTGAAAGAAAGAAGTGCAAGTGAGATAACAGCAAATTGTTCTAACATGCCAAAGAAGGTGATCAGGGCCTGAACAATCATACAAAAAAGAAGGGGTAGACAATTGGAAAAACATCCAATAGCACCTACCCAACCAACCCAAGTTCTTGTGAAATAAGAAGGGTCAGGGAAGAGAATAAACTGTCCCTGTGAGAAAGAATGTGAGAGGTGTCCATGGCAAAAATATTATTAATTTCTCCTGAATCAAGAAGAAATATGTTGTATATAAAAGATGACACAAGAAAACACGTGTTATCTTTATACATAAAAGGAGGATGTGTAAGAAGCATGAATGAAAAAGGGGTTCCACACCAGAAAAAGATGAGGAAGAGGGCTAAGTATAAATGCTCAGGATAGATCTGTAAAAACTAAAAACCAGACAAAAAAGAATGGCCAGGGAATAGATGAAAGGTTACTGACAGTCATACTGTAATGAAAACACTGTCCCTGAAGCCAGAGAAAAAAAGGACGCAAGATAAAGAAGGATCAAGTGACCTGGTGGAAAAAGAGTAGCAAATACACTAACACTAATAAATCATCCACCTGCATAGATTAGATAAATTGCAAGGATGGATTGCCAACAAGAGTGAGCAAGAAGCTGGACTAGTCTACAAGAAAAAACCTGCCCATCTTGCAAGGAATCAGAAAAAAGCTAGATATGAACATGAAAATGTGGAATGTCATGGTGAAATGTGAACATCCAAAGCTAACATAAAATGGGCTTCTTAAATGAAAGAGATAGAGGCCCCAGGTTCACCAAGAAGCAAAGGAACAGAAATCATAACTGAATTAGTCAAAGAGGGGCAAAGAAAAGAACCTGGCAAGGTGTGCTGTAAATTAAAGAGAGCAACCTAAGAAAAATTTTAAGAGGACAGGTATACAAAAAGAGAATGGACCCAACCAGACTCTGAGGGAATACTGCCAGGAACATGGAGTATGAAAATGACCAAAAAAGCAGAAGCTTGGTGCAAAAGAGAATCACAAATGCATCAAGTAAAGGACTCCTAAAATAGGAATAAAGCACTATAAACACCAAAAGATGTAAAAACAGCTCTGGATGAGACATTTGTTCCAGGTGTGACAGCCAGTTTGCCATAAAATTCAAAGATCACAGTTCATATAAAGCCAATAATCAGATGTTGTTGTCTTGAGCTCAAAAGTGGAGCTTAAGAGAAAGAAGTAGAGGTACCTCCCTATTGGTGGATGTAATAAACAACAGTGAAGTTGTTAAAATAAATCAAATCAGGATGTTCAGATAGTTGTAACAAACTGACCACAACTCAGATACATTGACATGAAAAGACCATTCTACGGGAGGCCAAATACCGAAAGGGTGAAGGTATCCAGAACTACATCCCATTCAGCTATAGACGTGTTCATTAATATGTGGAAGTTCATGCAGGATGAAAGATGATGAATGCTCAGAGTCATGTGAAAAAATTTAAACTATGCCATTGAGGGGGAGAGAACTAGAGGTACATAACCAAGAGAAGGCACTGTATCATAGAGTATGTTTCACTGATCAGTCAGAATCCACTCTGAGGGACAAAAAGAAGCAAAATATCTCAAAATGAACAGAACTTCATGCATAATAATAAAAGGAGAAATTACAACTTTGAAAACTAGAAGTTCTGTATCTCTGAAATGTAATAAAGGTTCAGTCCATCCAGCAAAGAAGGTGACAAACACACCCTCTTGAATCAGATACTGACTCGGAAGCCTGACCAACCAATCCTAATGAGCAGACTCCAAAAGAAGAAAGGAGGTTGTAGCAGATGATGCCTCCAAGGACAGGGCTAGAAGTTCCCAAATGCACAGATAACTGTAGAAATGCAGACCCATTAAGTGCAGTCTCTGTGTGAATGCCCTCAAAGTTAGTGGAAAACAGATGTGAGCCCTGAATGACAAAGAAACTTTGTGGGAGTCAAGGCTTTCTCAATACATGTGGACAAAATGTAAAAGACAGTTTTCCACACAACCAAAGATGAGGGATAGTTCCAGACACAAATGCTCACAGAGCCTGAAGATGGAGTGACACCAGGAAAGAGCCCCAGAAAAGGAACTCCTCTAACAGCCTGCATAAATGGACTTTCCCATAATACAAAAGAGGGAGTATAACTCCAAAGAACAATGTATCTGAATTAAGCAAATACAAGAATCACAGAAGTCTTAAACGAGCAGTATGAAGAACAGGTTAATGTGACCTTGCCATAATAAGGGTGTTAGGGGAATAATATAGAGCCTCAGAAATAAGTAAGCAAAAAATGAAGAGCAGGTTGAGAATAAAAAGAGCCAAAGTACGAGAAGAAAAATACCTAAACTGGAAGAGGAAATTCAAGGGATAGGAGTATCAGAAAAGAGGAAGAACTCCAGTCACAGACTACAGAGAAAGAAGATGATATCCATAGAGGACATGACAACTGAGAGTTAACAGAAAGCATAGACTGAAAAACTCTGCAATAATGCAACAAGTAGGTGAGGGAAGAAGAGCAAAAACACCTTGTGAGTTGAGGTGCATGCAAGAAGCCCATCTGAGAAAAAGCAGAAAACAATTGGAATAAAATAACAAATGTCAAATACCTGAACAAAGGTGGATGTTATCTGATTCTTGTTAAGAAAGAGTAATCAAAAGCAAAGTTAGTTTGTGGGAAAATTTGGCCAAAAATGTCCAAAGACAAGGCAGGCTCAGTAGAAAGTACAGAAGCCTGGATCTGAGATGATCTAACCACATAATGTACAATGGTGGTAACACTGCTCACCATCTGAATAATGCTAGTCACAAATGAAAAAAGAAGAGTCTGGACCTTTGAAAATTTCAGAAATGTGAATATAGAAAATCATATGCAATAAAATTCATGAAAGTGAATTCATTGAGAATGTATGTTTTGAATAGTTCTGGTATGTCCACAGTACTTAGGCCTTAGCAATTTTGTATTGAGATAATTGTAAGTAAGTAGTGAAACTCAAATACTGGGTTAAGAACAATGGGGAATAGTCCTATGAAAGAAACCAATATCACAGATTCAGAAGCATGTGTCCTAAAATCTTGTAATTTAATTAAGTGAAGAAATCAATACAAGAAAATATAACCATTTATATCAGAAGCTGTAACTGAAAGTTTAAAAATTTGTATCATTCTTTCTTGAAATCAAGAAATTAAGGGTAAACAAAATGATAACTTCTTGATTGTTAATTAAAATTTTATAATAATATGTGCAAAGGTTCATGATTAATTTCTAAAATGTCTAAATTACTAGCAGTGCCAAGGTGAAGAATCAGCATTTGGTATATAGAATGTGATCAAGAAGACTACTGGGCACGAAGGATGTGTCCCCCTTCTACTGGTGGAGGTCTTTAGTCTGATGACTGACACAGTACACTCTATTACACGTAGGGGTGAGAGTTTTGTTCGAAGTCTTGGCATATACGCAAAAAACGTTTTCAGCAGTGGCACAAGGCAATAGCTTTAAGTTCTAAGGAAAGGTGAGTAGTATGTCTGAAACAAATGTCACCATAACATGAATTAAAATTATGTACATCAAGATCGGAGCTAGATTATGTGGTATGCCAAACATCCACATGCATGGGGCTCAGACTAGAAAGAGACCCATGATAGCAGCATAATGAATGAATGAAGTTCCTTGAATGAATTGAGGTATAGTTTAGGTTCCTTAAAAAAATGTGAAAATTTCCTTAAATTACTATAGCTAAATGTTTTCCATTGAAATGATAAAATTATCAATAAAAATGTTATGAATCTCATGATTTTAATATGTTACAATTTAGAAATTAAATTGTCATTATTGAGTGTTTACAGTTTACACCTCAATATCCTTGAAAATTCCTTTGAATAACAAAATTTCCTTGAAAGTGGGAGTGGAAGCACTCATACGCCAAATACCATATTATAACTGACTCAGAGAGCAGACTGCTGAATATGCATATGAAACTACCTACCAGACATGCATGAAATAATTAATCACTTAATGATATGTCTTTTGTAAACCCTTTCATGCCTGCCCATGCTAGGTATAACCTGGAGAAAATGTAACATCACTTTTTAAAAAATTATTTGTGATTTTTCCAAAAATAAATTTAAAATAGAAATGTTGAGACTTTTTATGTATATTAACATTTGGTTTAGTTTATGCAAATTTGATCCTAACTGTCGACTGTTTGAGTTTCTCCTTGAATGTTGGGTTTGTGATTGAGGGGCCCATAACATTTGCTGTGTGTGGGGCCCAAGATACACTTAACCCATCTCTGGTCAAGACACAAGAGTGAATTAAAAAAAAATTAACATGGAGGAAAAATAAAATTATATATATGTTTTGATATGTATGTATGTAAATACATATGTATCAGTTCAAAATATTATTACACATAAGCGTGGGAACAATTTTGAAGTTTAGGTGCTGAATGTCATAAAATGTAGAAAGGTTTTGTATAATATACACATTTTGAGGTGCAGCATTATCTTCTTTGATTGATAAGTAACTCATGCAGTTTTTAGATTAGGAAAATAATTGTCATATATGTATATAACTTCAGTTTTTTCTGGCTCAAAGTTTGTCAATTCTTTTAGCATGGAGTAGTTACTGCATCGAGAGTAAAATACAGGAAACAATATAGGTACTTGTCTCTTTAATCACAGATTAACAAATATTTACATCTGGCATTATGTAACATATCTAAGTGTATCTAATGTGATGTGAAAGAAGCATCACACCAGGTTGCTTTTATACACATATGCTTAGATCAATATAAAGTATTGTATGTAGAAATGCTCCACTCCCAGTGATTCCCCTGCTAAATTTAAATACAGTAATAATAATGTGCCTATCATCCAAGTCTATGGATACTGAAATAGAAAAAGAAAAGACACGTGAAAAACACATCAGCCCATAAATTGTTCAATAAAGATGTAGAAATAATAAAATATATTCCTCTATCAAACACTTAAACCCATCACTTAGTAAATGCAGCAAACACCCCCCACATCAATTCAACAGTATTGGGTTTCATACTTTCATTTTCCATGTCTAAATGTAATAGTTCACTCACACGTTTCATAGCCACTTCATAATCATCATCAGACAAAGGAGAGAATGCATTCTCTAAAACATCTGATGAATGGGCCAGCAAAACCAAAGAAAGTATTCTTTTGTCCAGGCGGTGGGGATCGTTCACCCATCTTCCTAAAACAGCTTCTTGAACCTTCTTTACCAATTTGTTCTTTGCAGTATTATCAGTCAGTGGGTGTGTTGTCATGTCAAAGAGAAGAAAATTCTGTTTTTCAGTAGTCAGTACACCTTTGTCTACCAGATTCTTGGCTAGGCGCTCCCTCACATTTCGAAGTTGATAATGTAGCTTTAGAGGGTTCCAGGTTTCACCTAAACAAGTACAACATAATTCATAGTTGTCTTAAAAGACAAATTTAAACCTTAAAACCTAATTATATTGTACTTAAGTGATTGTTTTGTTCTGAGACTACTTCCATGTATACTACACAAACACATCTAAGAATGTGCATGGACAACCCACAGGTAACTGCAAATCACCAATAGTATAATAACTATCTTTAGTTACCCAAGTCACACAATTTAAAAGTCAAGTACACTGTTAATGTGGGTCATGAATAAGAAACTAGTAACAGTTATGCTTGCTACACAAATTACAATGTATACATTTTAGACTTTCAGGCTTGTGTCACTCACCAATAAAAATATTTTTTTAAATAGATAGAATATAATAGTAAACAAAAAACCAGAAATATAACATGCATAAACTTAAACGAATAACACTTCAGACATTAGTATAACTGTGAAAATAATGAGTTAGCAAAAAGAAATCAATCACACAAAAAGAAGGATCAGACAATCAGAACCAAAAAACAAAACATAGGAGCTCATATTGACGAATGTTTCAAATACCTATATTATGCAATAAGTAAAGCAAAGTTACTGAAACACAAGTGTACATGATAAGACTGCTGCACAGAGAGAGAGAGTGCAAACTTGATGGGATAACTTATCAGTTATTAGATTCATTACACCAGAAACATGACAGACTCATTGCTATTAAGAATGATTTCAACTCAAAAAATCTAAAATTGAAAATATGAAAGCTCAAGATCTGTGACCTACTACATTGCCACATGTGAAAAACCAGTAAAGTTGTTTAAGTAAAAAATAACAACATGACCCAATTAAAGAAAAAGTAGTTTAAAGCATGCTCAATGGATAGTCAACAACTCAAAGAGATTTTTATGGAGTTAAGATTAAAGTGCTACCATTTTCATCACTTATATTCTCACTACAACCAGCTATCCAAGTTATACTGATACAACATTCCTATAAGATTTAGAACCTCCACTATTGATGACTTTGTGATACCTCACATATACATGTAAAATACTCCATACACTCTCTGCTGGGTGCTAGTATAGCGTGCAGTCTATCAGGACTTTTACACTATAGCGTGCGGTCTACCGAGACTTTTACACAATAACGTGGGGTATGATCATCATATAAATAAAACATGTTGAATAATAGCAGTACAAAACCAGTATTAATGATATTAATGATGAATAATAGCGGTCTACCTTCATCATTAATAAATTATTTAGCAGTGTAAATATCCCATTAATAGCAGTCTACCTGGGATATTTACACTGCTAAATAATCTATTAATGACGAATAATAGCAGTCTACCTGGGATATTTACACTGCTAAATAATTTATTAATGACGAATAATAGTAGTCTACCTGGTATATTTACACTACTAAATAATTTATTAATGATGAATAATAGCAGTCTACCTGGAATATTTACACTGCTAAATAATTTATTAATGATATTAATGATGAGTAATAGCAGTCTACCTGGGATATTTACACTGCTAAATAATTTATTAATGATGAATAATAGCAGTCTACCTGGAATATTTACACTGCTAAATAATTTATTAATGATCATTATTATGATAAAAAACAAAATTGTGCTACATAATTATTTTTAATGACATACACTTCGTACCACATACTTAAAAATGATTTACATTTAAATCCTTTAATGATATACAATTCGTAAATCATTTACAAATGCCACAAATAAATCATCTGAATCTTTTCTTAGCACTTTCCAGCAATTGTGATCAAGGTGTGATTGAAACAGCTCAATGTTAACGCCTCTCATTTTCTTTAGAATGAGTATCTTAGCATCCAACCATGATCGTTCAATCGCTTGCATGTTTGCTTCTGTCACTGGATCCACATAATTTTCTTGATGGTTCACCGTAAAATGACTGTAACGGGTCAGGTGGTAGAGTACGGATACTGTGGTAGACTGCACGCTATAGTAGCACCCTCTGCTGTGTGACTCACTAAATAAATTCTGTAAATTCTTAGTTACCATACCACATGTACTTATAAAATACTTAAATTTTACATTCAAATCATGTAACTCACCACTAAGATATGCAATCCAACTCTGTAAGGCCTCTGGAGGACTAGTCTCCTTAATGTGTTTCAAAGCTTGATCCAACAAGACGTCACCAGTGGGTGTGTCATTTTTGATTAAAACCTTTCTCACCAAAAGGCTACGCCTCCGCATCCCAGCTTTCTCAAGTTCTATTCTCCCTCTTAAAGCCAGTTCTATAAGTATACACCCTCGAAGCCCAAACGATATACAATCATTCCAAAAGGATGTGTAGCCCTGAGGAAAAGCAGTGATAACTTTACACATACATATTGTTAAGAAAAAATGGTTTAAAGTTTGCATATTAACTTGCATATTTAATTAATTAATCCATTATAATAGGTGTCATATATGTTTAAACATGTACAGTAACTTATTTAACTTCTCGCATATACATGCCAACTGTGTAGACCTACTGCATGTCTTATATGATAAAACAGTAGAGAAAATCTAAAATTTAGAAGTTCAGCTTCAAGTACTGAACAGAAGCATATATATATATATCTGAACTTCACAAACATCCACACATCTGATGAACAGAAGACAATGTTAACCTGAATTGTAAAACATACACACACATACTGCAGGAAAAGCTGTGTTACAATCGCTTCACAAACATTCACAGATCTAATAACAGAGAATACATTAGCTTGCTATATTTCTTGAAGATACACTTTATAAATTCAGTATTATAGTAACATACATACATACACATATACTGCAGGGAGAACAATGTTAACCTTCACTTTACAAACACTCATTCAACAAGGAAAAGGATGCTAGATGAGCTTCAAGTGCATTTACACACACACATATACTGCAGGAAGGATCATATTAACCTTTAGTTCACAAACATTCATGCATCTGTTGAACAGAACACAATGTTAGCTTGAAGTACATTAATATACATGCACACATACTGCAGGAAGGATACATGTTCATTTTTGCTTCACAAACATCCACACAACTGGTGAACAAAACATTATGTTAGCTTGAAGTGCATTAATAAACACACAAATACTAAACATAAACCATCTTAATCTTACTACACAAGTATTTGTACAACCATTGAATAAAAGACTATATTAGCCCAAACTGCATGAACAACAAAATATTTACTGAATTTAAGACTATGCTAACCCTAACCTCACAAACATTCACACAGCTATAAGGTAGAAGATTGTGGTCATCAAAATAAAGCTATTGCAAAGGTCTCCACACTACTCGGTATTTATATAACAAAGCAATATTGTATTTATTTTCTGTTATCAATAATCAAACAGGATAAAACAAACTGATTTAAACATTTTTTTCTTGATAATGTTATTTTTGTATTTTCTTTGTGCATGATTTTATGTCATTGATTGCCCACAATCTTAAAGTACGTTCTTGAATTAGATACAAATGATTTTTGAGGGTATCTTTCAGAGTTGATTTATTTTTAAATTTTAATGCTAATCTAGACCTGTATCAAAAAATAATACATCTGGAATGTTTTTTAATAGCTGATCAGTTTTGTTTTTGTTCAAAATCTTTTGTGGTATAATGACTTGTAGCATATATATAAGCAAAACAGATTGATATGACATAATACAACACTTACCAGCACCCCCGATTTAAAATATATTATCTAATATATTACCTGAATGTGCAAGTTTTAGCCAAACAAGCAAGTCTGTTGTACATAAAAAATCAGGTGTGTTACTAGTTTTTATACTACAGATATGTCTGCTACAGTCAGTCTGACACAGACTTTGAAAAGTCGATGTTCATGTAAAGAATAAAAATTATTTTGTCCATCTTACAGTTTGCAAACTGCATTTGCATAATCTCTAGCATATAGTAAATGCACATAGTTAAAGTTTTTTCCGTAACCCTGTATACTGTATCTGGTATTTTCTCTACTAACATGAATTGTTGCAAAATTAGTAATGTAGGGTAACTAGTAAAGTACAAGTACTATACAAGGTAGGGGCATGCACACTCTGACCTCTGTAGGGTTAATCAAAACAGAAGAATTAAAAAACTGAAGTGTTGTTCTTCAACATATGAAACAAACTATCACACCTAAGGTATGGGTTTGTGATATTACATGTTGCTCAAGTCATGTTGACAGGTGCGTCAAAAATAAGCTATTTTTATATGAAAAGCACATCAGTCACATTGCTATAAATATATATAAACATATGGAAACATCTGTTCCTGAGTGTGTACTTCACAAGTGGTCTTAATCTAGTACATGTACTACATCATTTTACTCAGTCTCCCAATTTCTTATCACCTTAAAATATATCTACAAGCACATTAAAGATAATATTAAAATACTCATCAGAGCCCAAATGTTGTTCTGCTAAATTGCTTATTATCATTTTCTCACTACTAAAAATAATGTCTAAAATAGCATCCATACTGAAAGATTCAAATTTCAAGGGAGGAAAAAAATCCCAAAAGAGTTTAGTTCAAGAAACTTAAAGATTACAAAATTTCCCTGTCACTTTCAATAAAATTAAAGAGTTTCTCATAACAATAGACAATTTACAATCAAATCAGAAGATTTGTAAAAAAATTTTAATAAGCATCTTTTATCTTTTTGCTTCCAAAATTTTAGCCTAAATGCACTCCATGTTTTTGGCAACTTATTGGTAACCAAAAACTACAAATTTAATTACTGTAAAACCTTGTTAATCCAAATTCATTTCTAATGAAGTACTTCTTCCAAAGTATTGAGAGATAAAGTTGGTGAAATCAATCACTTTGAATATAATAACCACTCTCTTAATAACATGTTATCGATTAATAAATGCACAAGTGCAAATGAATAAGTGTGCATGCAACTGTATGTACAATTAACTTTGTAGTTTATCACTGTATATGTCATCAGTAATTATATTAATTGCATAGTCAAAGTAGGATATTGTCATTATCTTCACACAATTCATCATTTTATTCAAGCTGATTACTAGAATACACAATATACAGTACATGAATTTTGTGTATAAACCAACATAATTTTTTAATGATGGTGATATTTCTATGGGTTTTTGTTTAGGAGCACTGTGATTTGACATGACCATAACATACATCACTCTCATGACCTCTATATGTCTGTTACATTTTATATGTACATCCCTCCTGTAAAAGTCATTCTCAGAACTAGTATCTAAACCAGTACCCACTACGAGTGCAGGTGTTATGTGATGAGTAATTATCACCCTGTTTCTGTTCTAATCTACCCCTACTTCACTCCTGTGAAGACAGGTACAGATTACTGAATCATGTAACATGGAATTGCATGTTTGTTATAAGAACTAGCTGTTCAAATTAAGAATGCAATTATACAGATTACTGATTAAATTTCCCAATGTGAAGATCTGTAGACACGAACAATCACCCAGATTTTCAGTGTCTAAACTAATGAGAGTTCACTTTACTTACTTTTAAGAATTTTAGTAATTACATAAAAAAAACTTAGCTGGTATTAAAAGACTGTTGATTTGAGCTCCTAGGATTTCCTTTTTTTTGTAATGAGAGTGTAACTTTTACTGACAAACAATTTAAATTTATTTTTTAATTTCAGAGATTTTTAGCATTTGCCTGTTGAATTATTTTTCATTAACTTTTGTTTTTGCAACATTCCTCTCCAAATAAGGTAGTATATAGACATATTTTTTCTATAATTATTAATTATTTTATTTTTATTCTAGCTCTTCTCTTCTTTTTTAAGTTAGCTATTCATTTTTATACACTGAAATTAACAAAATAATTTATTAGCTTATGTGCTTAAATGAAATATGTAAATGTGCAAATCTTGGTTTTATTACTGTTCATAAATCTATTTTGTTGTAGTGTTCTTTATATTATGTTGTATCACTTTACAGAATTTATGTGTTTGTTGGTTATCTTTTACTATATATATAAAGTAGCTGATGTATTTAATTGAGCCACTATAAATTCATGCTGAATGAAAAGTCAGATTAGCATTTATTTTTTCCTCCACAATGTTAAAGGAAGAGTTGGTTCCTGCTGTGGGAAAGATTACAACACAAGTTAAGGTGAAAGAAGGTCACTCAACCTGTCAAGAGTCAAGCAAAAACATCATAACATAAAATATGGACAACAAGGAGCTATTTGGTCTTTCATGGCTATCCTTAAATAAGGCTATCCTTGAGAAAAGTAAGAACTTAAATATACCCTTTATTTTTCATGAAATCATCTATTCCCATTAGACTCCCATCAAATATTGACCTCTGCTACTGCAGACTGAAACTCTTTCAATAAGTTAATCACCCTGTTAGAAAAATAAAACTGTGTTAAATGGAACCTAGCCTGTCTTTCCTAAATCTTAAGCTTTGTCCTCTCATCCTATCATTTTCAGAATATAGCACAAAGAAATTAGAAGCCATTATCCTATCTGTCCCCTGGATAATCTTGTAAACTTTAAAACATCACCTTTTACCCTTTCCATCCATGGAATCATCTTTGTAACTTTCTTTGAACCATCTCCAATAAGTCAATAATGTTTCTTAGATATGGAGTCCAAAACTTATAACCCCTTTTATAAAAAGCCTAACTGTATTTCTTTAGTTTGCTGACTCAAGCTGTGCTGATGAGTCTTGAATATGTGAAACTGCAATCCATAGCAGAGGATACAGCCAATCAAGTAATACATTAAGCCTTTGAGTCACAGATTGTCTTTTCAATTTCATCTTTGGTGGAAAAGAAATATTTAACCTATTTATATAACATATTAGCATTATCATTCGCAGCAGCACATTGCTTCAATGGTTTGAGTGATTTATCCACCACTAAGCCAAGATCCTTTGTGTAGATTTCCATCTGTATTCTAAGCATAATCCAAATAATAATGTCCCAAATGCATTACCTTGCACTTTGTACAATTAAAGGTCATCTGTCAAACATTTGTCTAATCTACCAACTGATTCAAGTCACACTGTAATACCTCAACACCCTTAATGATATTGGTAAAGGAATAACAAGAAAACTGGTTATATTTACAGATGATACCAATATGCACTTCATATTGTACTAAAAACACTGTCATGGAGAGAGAGAGAGACTTGGACTATTTGGTGAATTGGGCTAACACATGGTGAAGTTCCTTGTAATGTTAATAAGAATAAGGTTATGCATAAAGATGATCACAATTTCAATTATTCTTATATGCCTTCTAAATAACATACATTAAGAACTCATAAGACAAACAGGATTTTAGGCTGTATACATAGAAAGACTGTGTACAAGTTAAAGAAAATTGTCATTTCTTTCTATAAAGCACTGGTTAAACCTCATTTCTGCTATTCTATTTTCTACCTCTATCCTACTCCAAACTACATAAACACCTTTTCCTTAAACCTAGTCCTGATTTCTAAAATATTCAAGCAAACTCCTCTTAAGCTTCTTCTATATTTTATATTTTACTGCAGCTGGAGACAAATTAATCTGTAGCCTGAATACTCCTTATTTTAAACTTGTATCCTCTGCTTCTGATCTTACTGCCTTAACATCATTTGGATTTATAAATCCCTTAAAAACCTCAGTCATATTCTTCTGCACCCTACTCCTCTCTAGTAAAAACATGTTAAAATATTTTAACCTATCCTACAAGATAGCCCCTTCAAACCCAGAATCATCCTTGTAGCTTTTCTCTGAACCCACACCATAAACTTAGCCTCCATATTAATATTATTCATGTAGTAAGGGGACCAATATCACTCCAAATGACAGCTCAAGGCTTATACAACATTCTTTTTCCTATATTCAAACTCCTATAAATAGAACCAATAACCCTATTTGCTCTTTTCATCACAGCTAAGCACTATGAATACAATTATTATTTTAACTAAAACATTTAAAAAACCTCTTTATCTTTCAATCCCAACAGGAGAACTTCCTCCATCAAAGTTAAACGAGTTTCTTTAGCATCAACATCTTCTTCACTTTCTATATATTTTTTATCTTGATCCTCATCCTTATCGTATGATCCTAAGCCATCGCGATCACTGGACTGAGAAGATGAAGCAATGTTTTTTCTTTGCACCAAACCTTTCGATTTATTCATGCTCTTTGTCAACTGTAACTTATTTTACTAGCTGGGAGAAGGGTGTTCGTGGCACAAGCGTAGCAAAAAGAAATAAACAATGAAATTATGCTTAGCAGTAGTATTACAAGTGAGTACTAACACTACACAGTACTATTACTATTAGTAGTTACTCAAGTAAGTACTGGTAATGCCTACTACTTGCTTAATTAACAATAACGAGTATTTTCACAAAAACATATTGCTTGTTAGTCATATAGAAACTATAACTTTCCTAAGCACGCAGTATATAATACTTTTAGCTCAAGTTAAAAGTTATTGTCGGCTACTTCTCTTTCTTTCCCTCTCTTCCTTGGCACTACACAATCTCTATATTGTTTGTTGACGAAGACACTCCTAGCAATCCCTCTGGTGGCTTAAACATGTTTTACCTAATATAGTGACAACAAATATATTACAACGCTGTATAGTCCGCCAGTGGCACAGCGGTAAGTCTGAAAGCTTATAACACTAAAAACCAGGTTTTGATACCCGTGGTGGGCGCAGTACAAATAGTTCATTGTGTAAATTTGTGCTTAACTACAAATAAATAATAAAACAACACTGTATTTTATAAGAAAGAAAACATCATAAACAGTTGTTGTTGTTGTTGTTTGTTATTCAGCACAAAGCTATACAAAGGGCTATCTGTGCTCTGCCCACCACGTTGTAAGTCCGCAGACATACCACTGTGCCACTATGTTGCTTCATTAACCAACATGCTGAGCAATTGATTTTGTCATTCTATCAAAGAACAGCTTAAAATATATTGTTACGTCTCCGTTCGTTAGTTAATTTTCCGTAAATTCGTTCCGACGAAACTTTAGCGACACAAGTCCTTTCTTAAATAAAGCTGAGTTATTCTTTCCGAATACAACTTTAAGATACACTTAATGTCAACAGCCG